GATATGAGTTTTATCAATGGTGTCCCGCTTTACCAATGTTAAAATCTGGTCACCTTACTCTATACTCTTTCCCTTCTTACTATATTCTGACACCAACCTTCTCCCTACAGCACTGTACTTCTGTATCTGGGTGTCTGTTTGTTGCAATGGCCACACAGAATTTACAGATGATACTCACTGCTGACTTAATGCGTATTTTCTATTTTACTTTTCTAGGTTCTAATAAATCCACTGCAATGTCTAGTGCAAATGGAATATAAGGGTCAAAATATTAAAAGACATGAAAGAAGGCATTGTTTACTTAAAAAGAAAAGAGTAGATAAAGAAAATAAAATGTCATGAATGGATATGAACCTAATAATAAGGGCTTAAACTATCAGAAGCGAGAACTGGGAAGAGAAATAGATTAGAAATAAACTGTAATACAGCACTCAGACAAGAGTACCCAAAACCAAATTGACTACCTTAGCACTGATGCCAGCTTGCAGTGACCCTGTAGGACAGAGTAGAACTGGCCCCTTGGGGTCCCGAGGCAGTGAGTCTTTTACAGGAGCAGCTTTCTCCCCAGGAGCAGCTGGGGGATGGGAACTGCTGATCTTGGGCTTACCAGCCCAAAGCATAACCCCCACACCCCTAGGCCCCCTGGAAAGAACGCATAGTTGGTGAGGGGGCAGAATAGAAGATAAAGGAGTAATGTCTGCAAGGGAAAAAACAACATAACGGTTAACTGGTCAAAAACTGAATAAACATTTAAACAAATCAAAATGCCAAAGAAACTGTAGAGATATTCAAACTTAACATATAAATTGGAGGAAAGCAGATTAATAATGCGGTATCCCTATACATTTATGAGTCACATTACTTTATCAATCAAATAACATTATAAGTGGAAGTGTGAATCACACCTCCTTTTTTAAAGTAATCTAAAGTCATATAAAAGTCAAGATGCATGGGCAATGTGTCAATAAAATGCAGTGATTGGATTCTAGGAAGTCTAGCATAGTCTTTGGTTTTATTGAAGCTGCCGTGGAAGAAGGCCCCGGGTCTAGAAAAGCAAAACGAAGAGACCCCACACAGACCAAAACAGCAGTGGACGAGAATGTGCCCTACAAGGCGCAGCGTGAGCCATAGCAACCAACCACCAAAATCTACCAATCTACGTAGCTTTAACATTGTGATTTAAAAAAAGGGAGGTGAAAGAAAATGCCCCTGAGAGTCAGAAAATCACCTAATTATCATCAGGTACGTGTGGAAAGTTCTGAGAACAGCAAGACACTTGGAGAGAAGTTTGTTTGCAGGCTCCATGCCACAGTATAACTTCAGGAAGAGCTGACAGTGCAGGAGTTAAGAATCCACAAATCTGATGCCCTTTGAACCAAAGCCACATCTTAAAGAGAATTGGCTGACCATACAGTTTGTATAGTGAATAATGGGTGATGGGTCTGAGAAAGTTTCAGATAATATTTTTTTATTGCCTTAGGAAAATAGCAGAAAAGGGAGTCTAAAGCCATGTAGCTAGGAAAACTATGTTGACCCACCTTTCCTTCATAAAAGTACAGGAAAAAAAGACGTCACTTAAAAATGAGCAATTTTTAAAGCATTTCAGTCAAATGTCATCCAAAATTACTACAAGAAAAAAAGGATGGAAGGAAGGAGGGAGGGAAAAAGAGGACCTGATACCAAGGGCTCAAATAGAAAGTAAATGTTTAGAAAATGCTGATATGCCAGAATATGTACAGATATGCTTGATACAATTGGTATATGGAATGTTTTAAGAGCTATAATAGCCCTCAATAAAATGACTTTCAAAAAAAGAAAATAGGTAAAACATTCCAATGTACATGAAAGTATGCGAGAAAGACGTGCCAACAAAATCAATGAAAACTGCAGTGCATATTTTAGGGAAAAATTAGTAAATGATAGAAACTGAAAAAATAACAATATAAATGACATGTAGAAAACATTCTTTATGAAAGGGTTGAAAAAGAAAGACTTGATAAGAGAAGAAAAGCGTCAGGAGAAAGAATTAGATTTATAATGAAATACCATTT